CGTCAACCCTGCAAGGAAGGAACTGTTATTACCACCCCCATTTTACAGTTGAGAAAATGGAGGTAGAGAAAGGGTTGGTAACTTGAGCCAGGTAATAAGGGACCAAAGGGAGAGCCCGGGGGAAGGGACAGAGGACGGAGAAAACACCGCAGGCTGGGTCTTGGTACGGAAGGTGGATGGGAAAGTGAGAAGGCTAGAAGGGAACACAGCAGGCAGAGAAGGGAAGTGGAGTTTCAAGGGATGAAATAAATCCTGAACCCAGAAGTGGAGAAGAAGGGGCGCCAGGTCCTCACTTAGCAGAAGTCGTGGTGTTGCCAGGCACTGTGTTCCATCCGTCATGATGAGACACAAGTCTGTCCTATAGATCAGTTTCACTCCATTGTTCAGCATGGAGACTCAGGATGAAGATGAAGGGACTTTATTGAGGGCAGAGGGGGTCACAGCCACTCTCCCCCTGCCCCACCGCCGGCCCTGGGGAAGAACTCCTTTAGAGGCTGGTCCCTTAGCCCCACCCCATCAATTCTGACATAGCCTAGCTGGCTGCCGACCTGAAATTCCTCTACCACCAACTTAACTTCTCCCTGCCCCCATCCAAATTCCCCCTGCGAATCCCTCAGGCTCGATCAGATGCTACAGGTTGGCCCAGAAACTGAGTGGAGCTGGAGCGTTCCTTACTCACCTCTTTCATCACAGCTGCTATAAACTGAGTGCCAGGCTCTGTGCTAGGCACTGGGGATATGACAGTGCACAAGCAAAAGTCCTGGCCTCCCAGAAGTGACATTCCTTGGAAAGTATTAGGGAAGGCCAGCTGCTGCCACCCCCAAGCCTTGAATCTCAGCCGTTTAGTTTTAAAAAGAAGAAAAGGTTTATTTCTCATTCTCATCACAGGCGCAGGTTGGCAGGTAAGGGCCTGAGGGACCCTACAGGTCCTCCCATTGAATGGCTCTGCCAGCATAAGCCTGGCATTCTTAACCCGTTGTGTGCCATGGACGTCTCTGGCAGTGTGGTGAAGCTTCTGGACCTCTTTGTGGAATAATATTTTAAAGTTCTTCAATTGTCATTTAAAAAGTAAAAACCTAGGACTATAAAGAATACCAATTATATTGAAACATAATTATCCAGTATTTTTTCAATTCATCACTTAATAATGTGAATTCTTTTCAACACATTAAATAACAAGACATAGTGGCAGGTCTGATAACTACTGTAATTTCAAAGTAGTAATGAGTGTAAATCTATGGTCAGTAAACTGCTACAGATGGGTCAGATTGGGTAGACATGCCACCTGTTTTTATAAAGTTTTATTGCCACACAACCATAGTCATTGATTTGTGTAATGTCTGTGGCTGTGTTTGTGCTACAACAGCAGAATTGAATAGTTCTGACAGAAACCATAGGGCCTAAAATATTTACTATCTGTGTCTTTACGGGAGAAGTTCACTGGAAACAGTATTTTTGAGACATTGCAGCAACTGTCATGCAATATGAAGGCGTTTATGATTTCCAGAGAAAAAGTCACAGGCCTTGCTGCCACCATGGTGGCTTGTTGGCTACATTCATCATTGAAGAAAACGATAATTTTTAATTCAAGGGAGTAAAAATAAAGATGCAATTTTTAAAAAATCCAAATTCAAAGGTCTCTCCTCTGCCTTTTAGCCATAGATCTCTTGGGGGTCTCAGGACTGAGCCCAGGTTAGAAAGTCCAGGTTAAAAAAACCCTAATCCTACAGGTGCGGTGGCTCATACCCGTAATCTCAGCACTTTGGGAGGCCAAGGCAGGTGGATCACCTGAAGTCAGGAGTTCAAGACCAGCCTGGCCAATACCGTGGAAACCCTGTCTCTACTAAAAATACAAAAATTAGCCAGGCATGATGGCGCATGCCTATAGTCCCAGCTATAGGGAGGCTGAGGCAGGAGAATCGCTTGAACCCAGGAGACAGAGGTTGCAGTGAACTGAGATCACACCACTGCACTCCAGCCTGGGTGACAGAGCAAGACTCTGTCCAAAAAAAAACCACCTAATCCAGGGCCTCAGGGGTTCTCTTCCAGATCCTCTGCACCCCAGGTGACTAGGGAGGAAAATAAGTGTGGAGGATCCTACAGGAGGTTTTGTAGCCCAGGACTAAAGATGGCGTCCAACACTTTAACCACATTCAGAACTCAATGACAGTGTCATGCCCAGTTTCAAGCGATGCTGGAAAATGCAGTTAAGCAGCGTGCTTAACACAAGGATTTGGTAGAGCTAACAAAAACAAACAAATAGGTACTATGTCAGATGGCAATGAGTGCTACGGCATCAAAGCTGAATGAAACGAATAGCTAATTCTAGCATGAACCATGATTTTAAATAGCGTGGCCAGGAAAGGCGTCACCGAGAAGGCAACGTTGAGCAATGCTCTGAAGATTCCAAGCCTGGGGATTTCTGGGGAATGGCGTTCCCGGCAGCAGGAATAGCATGTGGGAAGGCCCTGAGGGAAAAAGCAACTATGGTGATTTTGAAGGCCTGAGGTTCGGTCACAGTGTATATTTTAATTGTCTGTTTCTTGTCTGTCTCCCCCACTAGAATACCAGCCCACCACGCAGACATTTTTGTCTATTTTGTTCGCTGCTCTTTCCTAAGAGCCTAGAGACGTGGTTGGCACATAGTCCACACCCGTTTATAAAATGCTGCGGGAACATGGTACCATCTGCCTGCTCCAGGGAGGCAGGAGTACGGAATAAGGGCAGAGAGGTTTCCCAAGGAGACCACTGGGGGCCATAGGCCATGGCGAGGGTCAGCATTTCATTCTTTTAGAATAGGAAATGATTGGAGGGTTTTCAGCACCGAGGGATGAGCTCCAATGTTCATTTTGCAAAGATTCCTCTGGCTGTTAACAGTGCGAGGCCGCGGCAGGTGAAAGCTTGGCGAAGTGTCTGACACTAAGAAGGAGAATCCAGTCCAACAGCCTCTGGGGCAGTGAGTGAGAAGGTGTTTTGAGAGGGGAAGGGTGGGACCCGGAGGACCCCTCATCTTGGAGTTTCACTGCTGAGAAAGGCCTCGAGTTGGGCCTTTGGAAATTACATCTCAATGAGCTCTCTTCTCAGTCTGAAGGACCGAGGAGCTGCTGAAACACGGAGCAGGCTCACCAGGCACAGAGAGGAGGCTGATGGCGCCCCGCGCCGCCGCACATTCTCCGCAGGGTTCTAGGCAGCTGTAATCGCACAAAGCCATCCTGTAAACATCTTAGGCAAAAGCTCGATTTGATTGCGCTTTGATTGATTTTTTTTTAGGTGGAGAGTTGTTGAGAGATTGATGCCCTTCATGTAAACATAGAAAACAGGCTAACATTTCAAATCCCCGCTCGCTACGTCTTGTTAGGTTGGTGCAAAGCCGTGAAAAGTAATGACAAAAACCACCTATTACTTTTGCACCAACCTGATCTATCCATAACTGGAGCAGAAAAAAAGGAGGTAGAAGGAGTGGGTCCCCACTGCTGAGAGTCTCATGGGGACAGCCCTGGACGGGGAGCCCCTGGTGGAGCTGCCGCTAGCTGGGTGTTCCTGGGTGCGGGGCTGGTGTTGCCTGGCTACAGGTTTCTCCAGTGAGAGCGATGACAGGAGCTAAGGGGCCGCCTGGAGCTCTAAGGTCCTGGCCGGGGGAGACCCTGGGGTGCGACAAAGGGGTTGATGGGCTCCCGCCCCGCCCCTCTCCCCCACCTTTCCCGCTCGCGCTCTCTCTCCAGCCCCACCGCAGCCCCAGACTGGAAAGCCCCAGGGAGGCCGCCACGGTAATGACCCCTCGACAGCTGCGCTCCCCGAGAAGCAGCCGCCCCCACCCCCGGGCCCCCACCCTCCGCCCCACAGCCTCGGGAGACAGGTTCGCACCTGCTCGGGGCCATTTCTCATCAATTAGGCCTTGGCAGCGCTTGAATGGGGCCCGGCTAGGGCGCGTCCCGGCGGCTCCTCCCCGCGCCACCCCCGGCCTCTCCCTGCAGAGCCCCGCTCGCAGATGGTAGCTCGGGCGCAGCTGCCCGCCGGGCTCGCGGGGGTCACAATCAGCCCAGTGTTCGCAGCCCCCAGGTTGAACAGGGGGCCGGGCACACCTGCGCGGCGCAGATGGCGCCGGGGGGGGGGGAGCAGCAGGCACCAGAGGCCCCTCCAGGGACCGGGGGGCGGGACCAGAGCGGAGCCCCCCTCACCGCAAGGCGGTTCCTGTCGGAACTTGGAACCCTTCGGTAAGGGGCCACCGAGAAAATGAGACCCAGCCATGCCCCAGTCCTTCTCACTTCAAAAGGAGGGAGTCCTTTTTGGATAGTAGCTTGGGAACCTACATGCCCAGCAACAGGGCATTGACTAGAAAACGTGTGCTGCGATCCTGCAGGGCGCTGACACAACCGTTAAAAATATGCTACAGAAAAGCAATGAGGAAGGCGGATGTGTTCAGCGTCACTTTTGTTGTTGTTGTTGCTGCTGCTGTTAGGTAAGGTGTCCCTCTGTCACCCAGGCTGGAGTGCAGTGGCGCAATCACTGTTCACTGCTGCCTCTACCTCCCAGGCTCAAGCGATCCTCCCACCTCAGCCTCCCAAGTAGCTGGGATTACAAGCACGTGACACCATGCCTGGCTAATTTTTTTATTTTTGTAGGCATGGAGTCTCCTTGTGGTGCCCAGGCTGGTCTTGAACTCCTGCCTCAAGCAATCCTCCTGCCTGGGTCTCCCAAAGTGCTGGGACTATACTTGTGAGCCACTGGGCACAGCCAGTGTAATCTTAATTTGGGGAATCCTGAGTTTGAGCTCTGGCGACATCTCTTTTGAGCTCTTTTGAGCTTGATCAGGTCACTTCACCCTTGCCAACATCAGTTTTCTCATCTGTAGAATGGTATAATAAAAGGCGATTGCAGGAGTTAAATGAGACAATGCAGGAAACTAGCCTAGGACCTGACAAACAGGAAACACCTAGTAAATATTTTTCTTAATTTTTTTCTTTTTTTTTTTTGAGATGGAGTCTCGCTCTGTCACCAGGCTGGAGTGCAGTAGACTGTTCTTAGCTCACTGCAACGTCTCACTCCCTGGTTCAAGCAATTCTCCTGCCTCAGCCACCCAAGTAGCTGGTATTGCAGACACGCACCACCATGCCCAGCTATTTTTTGTATTTTTAGTAGAGACAGGGTTTCACCATCTTGGCCAGGGTGGTCTCAATCTCCTGACCTTTTGATCCTCCCACCTTGGCCTCCCAAGGTGCTGGGATTATGCCCCACCTCTTATTTCTTATTATACAAGTAATACATACTACTCACTGTTAAGAATCCACATTTTATCTAATTATGTAAGATTACAAGCTAAATTTCACCTCTACCTGAGATCACCATTGATAACAGTTTTGTGTTTTGCCCCATAATTTTTTTTTTTTTTTTTTTTTTTTTTTTGAGATGGAATCTCACTCTGTTGCCCAGGCTGAGCGCAGTGGCTCACTGCAACCTCCACCTCCCAGGTTCAAGCTATTCTCCTGCCTTAGCCTCCTGAGTAGCTGGTATTGCAGACACGTGCCACCATGCCCAGCTAATTTGTGTATTTTTAGTAGAAACAGGCTTTCACCATGTTGGCCAGGGTGGTCTCAAATTCCTGGCTTCAAGTGATCCACCCGCCTTGGCCTCCCAAAGTGCTGAGATTACAGGTGTGAGCCACCGTGCTCAGCTGCCCCATGATTTTTTTCTACACTATATATATATATATATACATACATATATATATAGTATACATAAATATAGATTCCAGAATCAAATAGAAGCAGTTTCACTTAGAAACTAAAATATTGGACTCTGGGCCTAGACTTCCTGTGCTGAAAAACCTGATTCTTGTTTCCCTGCTGTGTGTCCCTGGGAAAAATACTTAACTTCTCTGGACCCCAGTTTGCTTATCTATAACCTTGTAGGAAAGTTGTGAGATTAACAAAAAACATTTCCAACAGAGCAAATAGAAATAGGAGCTTTATTGTAGGTATGGTTTTGTAACTTTCTTCCTTGATATTTCTTAGATGTTTTCTGTGTTGGAAAATTCAAAGTAATATTCTTTTTAACAGCTGTGGAATATGCCACCCTATGGCAACATTTAAGTGGTCCTCTTCTAAGGGCTGGGGCTGGTTCCCGATGCTGCAGCAAGCACTCTTGAACCCACTCCTTTCTGGCTGGAGTGACAGTTCCCCTTGTGTCAAGCCCTAGGGGTGGCATTTGCTGGGTAAGGCCCCATATGGTTTGGGACAAGCGGGATCAGAAGTAGGGTGAGGTGAGTGAAGCATTCTGGCACGAAATTTAACAGGATGCCCCAAAAACTCAGTAATCGAGATACATTGTTGCAATATTTTAAAAAATCAAAATTAATGCTAAAAACTATCCATGAGCAAAATATCAAAATTTTAAAGACAGCTTCTGACAGTGCCATATTGGCCTCGTGGAGCCTGTGGCCAAAGGAAAAGCATGCCTTTATGCGCACATTTTAATGTATGCTTTAATGGTCATTTTCTCCCAGATCATTAAAGTAGTTGAAAAATATATACTGAAAAGTTAAAAGTAAGTGTATTAAAACACACAGAATTACTTATGTTTTATTTTATCTATTCCCCAAGCAGAATTTGTATTAATTTTACTTTGCTGGCTTCAATGGAGCCAAACTCATCACTAATATTTTCAAAATATACCTCTGGAAAGAATTAACTTTGAAAAAAAAAAACTAAAATATATATATATATATATATATATATATATATATATATATATATATAGGCTAACTGGGCATTGTTGCAAATGTCCGTAGTCCCAGCTACTCAGGAGGCTGAGGTAGGAGGATTGCTTAAGCCTGGGAGCTTGAGGCTGCAGTGAGCCATGATAGAGCCACTGCACTCCAGCGTAGGTGATGCAGTGAGATCCTGTCTCAAAAATAATAATAATAAAATTTTAAAGTCATATATATGAAGCCTGCACATTTTCCCTTTGGCCTCAGGCTCCAAAATGACTCAACAAGGTGCTGGTATCATTAATTTGCCTTTGCAGAGGGTGGCACCAACTGATGCTTCCACTGACAGCAGGCTCCGTTTTTTCAAGCACCTTTTGGGATTAAGCTGCTTTCAGCAAAAGGTCATTATCCCCATATTTGGGCCCTCACCTGGGAGGAGCCAGGAGCTGGCATGCCTACCTGGGCTGGCTTTCTGTTCTCCCTTTCTTGTGAGAGCTTCCCAGACGCCTCTGCCAAGCCTGGGCAGCTCAGGTTACTGCAGACTCTGAGAGCTGCCTTATCTCAGATCTGCAAAGCCCCAGCAATTCATTCTCAGGAAAACCTTTTAACTCTGGGGTAGACAAACTCTAAAAAACTCTAGAGCTGCCTTGGGGGCAACGACAGCAGCTCCTCCATGGACTAGATCTGGGACTCCACAGAAATAATCTCATGAATGTTCCCTTACCTGTGGTCAGCAAGACATGCTCATTCTTTCATTTATTTCCATTCTCAGTGGCTACCCTAAGTCACTGCTCTGAGCAGCCCTGAGTCAAACCCTGGGACCAAAACGAGTTAGTCGTGGTCTCTGGAGCTCAAAGGGGCAGACAGACAGGTAAACAAAGAGTTTCCAAGACTCTTTCATGTCTGTTATTATCTCTCTCACTATGTTGTCCCCAGAGACTAGGGAGCACTTGGACCAGATATCATTGGATGTCAATGGGCATCTCAATCTTAACATGTCTAAAGCAGTAATACTAATCACAAAACTACTGGTAGTAATCATTACAGTGGCTACTCTATGAGGCAGTTCCAGGTGCTTTACAGACTGTAACTCACTCAGTCCTCCTCAGGACCCCCTGAAGTACAGCTTGCAGTTCCATTTTACAGATGAAGAAACTGAGGCATTAAGGGACTCAGAGGCTTACCTAAGTTCCTGCAGATGTTAAACGGCAATGCTGGGACACGAACCCAAGGGTCTGGCTCCAGAGTCCATGCTCTTAACTGTGATGTTGCAGTCTTCAGTTCCTTCCTATTCCCCCTCCGTCTTCCACGTCTCAGAAAATGGCATCACTAAATAAATAATTAATAAATAAAACATCTATGCACCTTTTTTATTCCACTCTTACCCAATTCTTTTCAAACCTGACTTCTCATCACTCAAATATCAGAGATATCTCACATTTCCGTTTTCCTGAAAGCAATCACTGAGAAGGGGTTGTAAGGGTATGTAGTTTATTTAAGAGATGGGAGATGATAAATCAGGAAGAAGCAGGAAAGAAGACAGAGGAGAAAAGTCAGCAGATACAGTGTGCCTTATCAAGTCAGCCACGGCAGCAGGTGACCACAGACAGCTTCATCCCTCCAACAAACTCTGGGAAGCAGTGCAAAGCACCCACCTCAAAATTATTCTGCCCACACTTTGAGGGAGTTGGGATATTGATACACTAACTCCTGAGAGTCATTGGTTGAGATGTACTGGGGAGGGGGGCGCAGTGTTGAATCATGGGCACTTCTTCCAACCAGAAGCAAGTCCTTTCAGTTTTAGGGGAAGAAGAAACCCCAGGTAAAGATGCAGGTACTGGCAATTAAAAGTCACTAGGACATTGAGGGACCATTTCCTTATCCCTCGCCTACTCCTTCTCATCTCTTTCTCCTTGTACATAAGACACAGAAGAAAAGGAAACCAATACAGGGTATATTACCAAGCAGGTTTTCACTGTGAACAAATAGAGCTTAATCCCACTGGGGTGCTTGGGGAGGCAGCACAAAATATGTGCCTTAGAGTGATCCCACCTGTGGGGAGAGGGAGTGGAGGTATTTATCCTCCACCCCCGATTTGTGATTGGTTGAGAGCTGCTTCTGAGGCATGAACCCATCAGCACTTCTGGCTTGCTCTGAGCATGAGCCAAGCGTGCTCCAGGGGCCAGAAAAAGAGCCTCAGGTGGAGAAGTGCAGGTGTTTGCAGTAAGCATTTTTGGTGAGAGGAAGACAGTACAAGAGGATAGAGAAGGAGCAGCACCAGTGGCTGCTTCAGATAGCTTATTCATCAAAAGGAGAACCAGATGACGGTAACCTTTTAGTAAGCAACTACTGTTTGCCTGGCTTCACGCTGAGTGATTTCTTTGTATAATTTCACTGCAAAACTTGCTCACATATCACTATATTAAAAAAAAAAAGGCAAAATTAACAGAAAGTAGGACTTTACCTAAAGCCACATATCCGGCTAAAGACGGTGGGCTCAGGATTATAACCAGGTCTGCCTGACTTGCAAGACCCAGTATTTTTTGCCTCATGCTATTTCTCTGCATCTCTGCGATTCACGATTCCCACCAATCTGGCCTGTTGGATAATATGTACCAAGGTTCTTATGAGTGCCGAAGTGAATAAAATGCTAATCCTCATCAATAGATTAAACTGAGAAATGCTTAAACCAGAGATCTGCCTGCAATAAAAGCAATTGGGTTACTTCTTTGTAATTTGACTGCTCACATGAGTCCAGGAACCTGCGTTATAGCTTTACAAATCTGTGATAATTTCCTTCAACTTTTCCATTTTATTGCCGCCATTAAAATCCCGTTGTGTTCTTGAAACAGGAAAAAAAATGATTAAAACAGATGTGGCTCTTAAAGTTACAATATGAATTTTACAACCCCAGGTTTTATGATACCGAGAGAAACTTCAGCCACCAGGGTCAGAGGCAAGAAAAATGGGACCGGATTTCTGAAATGGGTCTGGGAGGGCGGGGAAGAAGTAGGGTGAGAGGTTCAGAATGACAAAGACAGCCAACAAAGCTAATTTCCTGACGCTTACTTTTCTCCCCAAACTCTGGGGATCAACTGCAGAATGTCACATTTGCAGCCGCCCCTCTGCTGCAGAGCCTGGTCCCCACAGCTACTGAGGTTTGGCTCACCGCTTTCCATCCCTCCAACCTCACTTCCAGCCCACCCCCACGCCCCCACCAAATCATAGTTTTCCAGTTAAATAGGCCACAGTGATCTTTGTTTTGTTTTTAGAAGCAGTGTTTTATACTAAAGAGAGCATTCGGACCCAAGTTCTAGTCCCAGACCTTCAACTAATTCACTATGTGACTTGGGCAAACCACTGGACTCTGGGCTTACATTTTTTCCTCTGCAAAATGATGTTGTACCAGATCTCTCCATTCTCTCTTCGCACTGCAATTCCATGACCCCCATCTGCAGAAACACAATGCTGGGTACAAAGGAAGCTCTGACTATTTGTTGCCAGAAGAAAGAAATGATTTTCTAAACGCGTCTGTATTTTTCTTTTGCAGGGAATGAGGGGGTTGTTAACTTCCACAAATAACCAAAGAAAGAAGGAAAGCAACCATGAAATTTGTTTCCTTCTTTTTAACAAAAACAGTAAGGTGAGAATGACAAAAATTTTAAAGAGCCCATACACAGTGTTGGCAAAAATGTGCAGAAACAGGAAGTTTTCTATACTGCTGGTGGGAAGGTAAAATAGTACAATATTTCTGGAGAGTGACTATCAAAATGTTAAAGCATATATACTTTGAATCCACAATATCACTCTCAGGAAATCATCCTAAGGAAATAATCAGAAAGACATATTTAGAGCACAAGAAAATACAATATAAAGTCTGAGGGAAGGAGAGAAAAAGAATATAAAAATTTATATACTGCATCATTTAAATTGTATGCTTTAAAAAAAAACTGCATAGAAAGATAACTGAAAAGAAAACATCAAAATGTTGCATAGAAGTGGCCAGGCGTGGTGGCTCATGCCTGTAATACCAGCACTTTGGGAGGCGGAAATGAGTGGATCATTTGAGGTCAAGAGTTCAAGACCAGCCTGGTCAACACAGTGAAACCCCGCCTCTACTGAAAATATAAAAATTAATTGGGCATGGTGGTGGGTGCTGCCTGTAGTCCCAGCTACTCCAGAGGCTGAGACAGGAGAATCGCTTGAACCCGGGTGGTAGAGGTTACAGTGAACTGAGATTTCGCCACCCCACTCCAGCCTGGGAGACAGAGCGAGACTCTGTCTCAAAACAAACAAAACAAAAAACAAACAAAAAAAAGCATCTCTGGTTAGAAAGACTGAATTATGTCTATTTTTTTCTTTATATATTTGAACACTGCTCTCACTCCCTGTCTTCCTTCAGGTTCCTGCTCCAACGTCACCTTGTCATCAAGGTTTCCCTTGACCAGCTTATCTAAAAGAGGAAACTTCTGCTCCTTCTCTCCCATCACTCTCTTTTCTTACCCAGTTTTATTATTCTTCACTGCTGGACATAGTATTTTACAAATCTTGAGTTATAGATTAAGTCGTATCTCACAACCTGAATGGCAATCCTATGAGGGTTGTCTTTCCCTCACCTGGTATATAATGGACACAAAATTGAATGACAACTTGAATGAATAGATGACATATGCAAAGATAAATGCGCAAAGATAATCTATTGCACTATTTTTATAAATGTAAAAATTTGCAAATCAACTAAATGTCTAACAATAGAAAACTGGCTAAATGTAGTATACTACACTGATGCATTCGAAGTTTACGCAACATTTATTTCAAGTTTCTTTTAACATATATGTGTGTGTAAGCATGTCTTTATGTATAATTGTATTTTTCTTTCTAACAACAAAACCAGTCCAAGCTGTTTGAAACAAATCAATCAACAGAGATTAGTTAAAACAGCAACAATTCACACCTTAAGCTTTAATAGCTGGGTGAGAATCTTCCCATACACGTTTTTCCCTCCATGCTTATACAAACAAATGCCAACAAACAGTCACATAAATCAGTTTCTCACCCTTTCCAAAATCTGATTAATCATATGCATTGTGGACCCCTCTCCAGGTTGACATATATTGATCCAATTCAAACTACAACATAGAAGTCATGATATGAATAAAATACAATTTATCAAATTATTACACTGTGTTCATCAAGACATTTAGCTGGTGCTCAATTTGTGTCTGTATAATCAATGCTGCAATAAGAATCCTTAGTGATATATCCCATATTGATCATTTTATTTATGTAGTATATAGGATAATTTGTTATGTAGGCTGGGTTCCCAAATGTGAGACTTCTGGGTCAAAGGTTCCAAGCATTTTATTTATTTATTTATTTATTTATTTATCCTTGAGACAAAGTATCTCTGTCACCCAGGCTGGAGTCTGGGTGGATCACTTGAGGTCAGCAGTTTAAGACCAGCCTAGCCAACATTGGTGAAACCTCATCTCTACGAAAAAGACAAAAATTAGCCAAGCATTTTAAATGTAATAACACTTTCATAATACTTTAATAATACTTTCTAACAATACTTCAAGAATCATTGTAGCAATTCACATTTCATCAGGAAGGTATGATGGTTCCTTCCCATCTTCACCAACCTGGAATGTTGTCAGTCTTCTCAATTTTTATCAACAAAGGAGTATAAAATACTCTATTACATCTAGATATTTTTGACCATGAGCAAGGTTACAAATGTTTTCATGCATGTTGGTCATTCTGTGAATACACTTTGTCTATTTTACTATTTAAATGTTTATCTTTTTCTTGCCAATTTCTAGGAGATCTCAATAGATTAGGGACATTATATCTTCACCTGTCAGTTTTTGTTGCAAATCCCCCCGTGTGATCCTGAGCATATATAAATATTCTCTGATGTATTATTCAAATGTTTTTGCTGTATTCCTACATTTAGATATTGATCCATCTACAATTATTTTGTTATATATGATAGTATGAGGTAGAGTCTAACCTACCTTCTTATTAATGGACAGACTCTTGTGTCAGCACCATTTGTAAATGAAGTAGCCTGTTTCTGTTGAATATAAATGCCACCTACATATATATTTAAAATATATATACATAAATTTATACATATAAATACATATACATAAATTTCCCAAATGCACTCAGATTAATTTATGGAGTGCCTATAATGTTCTATTAATCTATTTGTTCTTCTCTCTCCATATATTCCTTTTATTTAGGCGTTTAGTTTTTGTTCTCCAATTAAAATCCTACAATCATTTCCATATGGGTCTTTTACTTTTCTTGTTAAATTTCTTTGTATTTATAGTTTTGATCACTGTTATAAATGAAATATTTTTCAGTGTTCATGCCTATTTCTAATAAAAAAAAAAGCTATTGGTGTCTTCATATTTAGTACAGATTCAAGCAATCTATAAATTGCCATTTATGAAAATCAAATACTCATGTGAATACTATTTTGTAAGTACATTCTTTTAAATGTTCTATGTTTACAATTATATCATCTGCAAAAAAAATGGCAATTTCAAATATTTATACTACTTACTTTATTTCCTTATATAATTGTATTAGCTATAAACTTTGAAAGGACAGTGTAGACAGTAGCCATCCTGTCTTATTTCTCATTTTATTGGGACTAATTCATGTTTCATGGTAAAATATTAGATTGATGCAAAAGCAATTGCGATCTTTTCCATTAAAAGTAATAACAAGAACCACAGTCACTTGTGCACCAACCTCATCCTATGTCTACTGTTAGTTTGTACTAAGTATTTTTATTTTATTCATGTAGTTTCTTTCTGGAAACAGCTGTAGAATTTTATCAAATGCTGCTCCAGCATTTTTCAAATATAAAGTCTGGCTTTTCTCCCTTAATATGCTGATGTAATCAATTCTGCCAGCTTTCCTAATGATGAGCCATTCTTGCCCCCCTGAAACACATATTATTTGCTCATAATATAATATTCTTTTAATATGCCACTGAATTATATTTGCTGACACTTTATTGAGAATTTTAGCATCTTTATTCATAAGTGAACATGATCTTTATTCATAAGCAAACGATTTGTTTTCCTAATTGTATTCGGAATGCCAAACCTTAGCATGAAGATTGGTCTTTATTTTGGATAAATGATTTGGGGAACTTTGCATCACGTTTTGTAGACTGAAGCACTTTGAATAATATTTTGGTAAATTTTTTTTGTTTGTTGTTATTGTTTTGAGACAGAGTCTTGCTCTGTTGCCCAGGCTAGAGTTCAGTGGCATAAACATAGTTCATGGCAGCCTAAAACTCTTGAGCTGAAGTAATCCTTCCTGCTCAGCCTCCCAAGTAGCTGGGACTACAGGTACACACCCTCTATGCCCAGTTTGTTTATTTGTTTGTTTTATGGTGACAGAGTCTCCTTATATTCTTCAGGCTGGTCTCAAACTCCTGGCTTCAAACAATCCGCCTGCCTCAGCCTCCCAAAGTGCTGGGATTACAGGCATGAGCCGTCATGCCCAGCCCATTTTGGTAAACGTTTAATAATGTTTTGCTTTTTCTTCTGGTTTGTTGTCTTTTTATATTTTTGACCTCTTGAGTCAATTTTGACCAGTTATGTTTTGCTTAAAGATAGCTTATATTCCCTACATTTTCCATGGTTTTGCTTTGAAGTTCCGTGGTTTTTTCTTATAATTATTTTACTTTTTTCTATATTTGTAATTGTATTTCCTCTTTCATACTGACGCACATGATTTCCTTTATTTTTCCTCACAAGAGAATTTTCTAGGTCATTTTCCCCCTGCAAAGAACCAACTTTGTTTCTTTGCTCCCAGAGTCTGGGTTTGTGCTTCCAGTATGGTAAGTTAGGAAGGGAATTTGGAGTGAAATATCAGCTCTGCTGCTTAGCAGCCAGGGACATAGACAAATCACTTACCGACCTTGGTGAGCCTCCAGTTCTTATCTGCAAATAAGGACATGCCTCACTTCCAGGGTAGCAATGTAGGAAAAATAGAACAAAGCCTATAAAGCACCCAGCACAACTCCTGACACACAATAAGGCAGTGACAGTGGTATTATTCAGGACTCTCCAAAGGAAAAGAACCAATAGGAGATATAAATAGAGGCTCATGTGATTATAAAGACTGGCAAGTCCCCAGATCTGCCAATTGAGTCACAAGCTGAAGGCTCAAGAAGGAAGAACCAATGGGGTAGTTCCAGTCCAAAGGCCAGCAGACACACGGTCCAGGAGGAGCCGACATTTCAGTTCAAGTCCAAAAGCAGGAAAAAGCCAATGTCCAAGTTCAAAGGCAGTCAGGCGTGAGGAATTCGCTCTCACTCCAGGGAGAGTCAGTCCTTTTTTATTCTATTGAGGCCTTGTACTGATTGGATGGGGCCCACCCGCATTAGGGAGGGCCATCTGCTTTGCTCAGTCTATAGATTTAAATGTAACTTCATTCAAAATTTCCTCACAGAAACACCCAGAATAATGTTTGATCACATATCTAGGCACCCCTGGCCCAGTCAAGTTGGCATGTAAAATGAACCATTAAAATGGTCACCACACACGTCACCCAGCCTGGACTGTGTGTCCCCACAGGCACAGGAGCCTGTCTGCCTGAGCACTGCACCTGCTTTATTTATTTTATTTGTATTCATTTTGTCTTATGTTATATCTGCTAGTTTGTTGTTAGTCTTCTTCCCTATAAATGCCCTAGTGGAAGCACATGGCTTCAGATAAGAAACTGAGAGAAGGCCTAAAAGCTCCTCCAACTGATAACTAACTTTGGCCAAGTTGAAGGATGCAAAATAAATATACAAAAGTCACTAGCATTCCTACACACCAACAACAGCTAAACTGAGAGCCAAATCAGAAAGACAATCCCATTCACAAATGCCACCAAAAGAAGATAATATCTGGGAATACAGCTAACCAGGGAGGGGAAAGATCTCTGCAATAAGAATGATAAAACACTATTCAAAGAAATTAAAGAAGACACAAACAAATGGCAAAACATCCATGCTCATGGATAGGAAGAATATATATCATTAAAATGGTTGCTGCCCAAAGTGATTTACAGATTCAGTGCTATTCCTATCAAACAACCAATGGCATTCTTCACAGAACTAGAAAAAGTATTTTAAAATTCATTTGGGACCAAAAAGATCCTGAATAGCCAAGGCAATCCTAAGCAAAAAGAACAAAGCTGGAGGCATCATGTTACCTGATTTCAAACTATACTACAGGGCTACAGTAAATAAAACAGCATGGCACTCGTACAAAACCAGATGCATAAATCAATGGAACAGAATAGAATCCAGAAATAAGGCTACACAAAGCTGACAAAAACAACATGAAAAAGACTCCCTATTCAATAAATGGTGCTAGGTAACTGGCTAGCCATATACAGAAGATTGAAGCTGGACCCCTTCTTTGCACCATACACAAAAATCAACTCAAGATGGATTAAAGGCTTAAATGTAAAATCCAAAACTATTTGAAAAAAAAAAAAAAAGCCCTGGGAGAAACCTATACCATCCTGGACATAGGAATGGGCAAAGATTTTTATAACAAAGACACCAAAAGCAATCACGACAAAAGCAAAAATTGACAAGTCAGATCTAATTAAACTTAAGAGCCTCTGCACAGCAAAAGAAACTATCAACAGAGTAAACAGACAGCTTACAGAATGAGAGAAAATATTTGCAAATTATGCATCTGACAAAGGTCTATATCCAGCATTTACAAGGAGCTAAAACAAAGTTACAAGAGAAAAACTACCTCACTAAAAAGTGGGAAAAGGACATGAACAGACATTTTTCAAAAGAATATACATCAGGCCAACAAGCCTATGAAGAAAAGCTCAATATCCCTGATCATTAGAAAAATGCAAATCAAAATTACAATGAGATACCATCTCATACCAGTCAGAATAGCTATTAGTAAAAAGTAAAAAAAATAACAGATACTGGCAAAGTTGCAGTGAAAAGGGAACACTTGTACACTGTTGGTAGGAGTGTAAATTAGTTCAACTGTTGTGCAAAGCAGTATGGTGAATTTTCAAAGAGCTAAGAGTAGAACTACTATTCAATCCAGCAATCCTGTTATTGAGTATATACCCAGAGGAATATAAAGCATTCTACCATAAAGACACATGCACACAAATGTTCATTGCAGCACTATTCACAACAGCAAAGACATGAAATCAACCTAAATGCTCATCAATGACAGATTGGATAAAGAAAATGTGGTGCATATGTGCCATGGAATACTATGCAGCCATAAAAATAACAAGATTACATCTTTTGTGGGAATATGGATGGAGCTGGAGGCTATTATCCTTAGCAAACTAATGCAGGAGCAGATAACCAAATACTGTGTGTTCTCACTCATAAGTGGGAGCTAAATGATAAAAACTTACGCACACAAAGAAGCAAACAACAGACACTGGAGTCTATTTGAGGGTGGGAGAAGTGACAGGAGCAGGAAAGATAACTATTGGGTACTGAGCTTAATACCTGGGTGTTTGAATCGTATGTACGACAAACCCCCGTGATATGTGTTCACCTATGTGACAAGCACATGTACCCTCGAACATAAAACGAAAGCTATAAAAAAGAAAAAAAAGAAACTGAGAGAAGAATTTCAAATTTATATGTAACTCTTACACATCCATGAACCCCTATATTTAACAACCAGTGTTCCACTTAAAGAAGCATGACCCGGCCGGGTGCGGTGGCTCATGCCTGTAATTCCAGCAATTTGAGTGGCTGAGATGGGCCAATCACGAGGTCAGGAGTTCGAGACCAGCCTGGCCAACGTGGTGAAACCCTGTCCCTACTAAAAATACAAAAAATTAGTTGAGCGTAGTGGCAGGCACCTTTAATCCTAGCTACTCAGGAGGCTGAGGCAGGAGATTCGCTTGAGTCCAGGAGATGAAGGTTGCAGTCAGCTGAGATCACGCCACTGCACTCCAGCCCTGGCAAAGTGAGACTCTGTCTCAAAAAAAAATAAAATAATTAATTAGTTTAAAAATAAAAATAAAGAAGCATGACCCAAGCAGAAATATCAATCTTCCTTCATAACTCTAACAAATATTGGATATGGGAGGCAGTATTTAGCCACTGATAACTCTTATTATAAATTTCTTGTGTTCCTCTGTGCTTTAGCACCCTGAAACTCTACCTCTCAGTTATTTTGTGCTGTTCCTGCTATTGGTGTATGTGCCCCTCCTCCGCTTTGATAAATCACTCAAGCAGCACTGTCTTTTCTCTTCTTTGGAAAGCAGAAGAACAAAGAGGAGGGTATATTTGCCACCTCTTGGTGACAGCATCCTTCAGAGTAAAACTGACAGAGGACAGCAGAGCCATGTGATTTCGTGGGTCTGAACCCTGCCTAGCTGCCCTCCTACTCAGACTCTAAGGCTGAGCATGTGACTCAAGAAGGGCCAATCATCATAGTTTATTCCCCTGGCCCCGGGGATCATTTCAGGGATGGACACATGACTCAGCCAATGGAATGAGACTCAGTGCTTGGAATTTGTCTGGATTTACTAGGGGAAGAAAAGCTCTCTTTCCACTGGAGTGGTTAGGCTGGCAGGAAATAAGCCTGGGGCTACTGGAGGCAACTTTCTAACACAAGCCTGCCTGAGAATGAAGCTAAGGCAGAGGTAAACAGATCAGAAAGATGGAGTGAGAGCAGGACTTTAGGATTAAGCACCTGGATTCAGTCAAGCCTGAAGCCATTACCTCTGGATTTATCTGTTGTATAAACCAATACAGGTCAGCTTTAGTTGAGTTTCTGTCACTTATAGCTCAAAGGGACCCAAGTAACTCTGAGAAGTAACCTATGAATTCATTGACAGTTGATTTTTTCACCCAGAGATCCCCTCTCTGTTTCCATAGGCTCCAATGCTTCCATTACGGGGTACCTAATCCTGGCGTACAGAAATTATCTTCCCCCAAATACTGCAGCTACTTGAGGCCAGAAACCTGGCTTTTTCATTTCTGTGTACTCTAAGTCTAGTCTAGAATCCAGAACACACAGTTCCTGGGAGCCTACAATGTGATAAGTTCCTTCTCTTCTCGACATTAATGCTTCCAACCGTTTAGGTATTGGGGATGGCAGTATTGTCATCCCCAAGTTACAGGCTAGGAAACTGAGGCACAAAGTAAACACTTCTTAGGAACTTAATAGGTAACAGACTCCAGATTTCAACCCAGGCCTCTCTGACTTTAAAGCAGCATTTGACAAACACTTGTTGAATACATGAATAACCACAGGCTGACCTTGACATTGATCCTAATGAAATTTTAGCTTTAGTTCTTACCCACAGATCTTGACATTGGCGAGCCTTCAGAAT